TAATACTAACTATGCATAAATACTGATTTGAAAGTTTATTTTTAAAATGATAGTTTTACCATAGGGTACCAGATTGTTGTGTGTACGTTGTGGAAATGGAACATACATACAATAATTGTCAATGTATAGACAATCAGGATCAATAAAAGGCGTAACAGTTGATTTATGATAAGCGAAAGATGTTTTTTTTAAAATATCTGTCAGCTGCCCCACCTTACAATTCAGAGAGTACCATCATAATTTGCTGATGACAGTTCCCTTCCTGTTGCTACTCAGTGTCAACACCCAATTAAGCATTTATTGTGTACCAAACATTGTGCTAAGTTCTGGGGTTGCAAAGAAAAAAGTACTTCCTGATCTCAAGAAACTTGCAACTCTAATGTAAAAAATTATGTACACACAAGATACAGACAGGATAAATTGAGGATAATTTCTGTTGTTGTTCAGCTCTCAAGTTTTCCCAAGAGCCATCTAAGAGACAGGAACTATAAATCTATCCATGCATTCCTAACAGTGACTATCATTATGAAACAAGGCAAATGTTATAAACACTTTAGTATAGCTAGGCCAATCTCTATCATCTACTCAAAAGAGAAAAAAAAGTTTTATGTAACAATAATTCATATTTCTATAACATGGAATGCTGACAAAGCACTTTCCACTCATAACGTTCCTATGAAATGGGAAGGGCCTGTACTACTTTATAGCTAAGTCAAGTGATTTTCCCTTGGTCACACAATTAAACTATCAGCCTTAAACTCTGAGCATCTTATGACTCTGTATTCTGCCCCCATCATTTATTTGAAGTTTACTGAGAATATAACTGCAAATTTAAATCAACTTCTTTGAACTGATTAATCTATATTTCCTATTGTTGGAGGAAATTAGAAATTTAGAATTTTTCCTAAGGTGAATATGATTTCATAAGAACATAAAATTATTTATTTATAATTGAAAGGGGACTTAGTCCTATATTTCTAATGAAACCCCCTCATTTTACAGATAAGGAAATTTATCTGTAAGAAACTAAGTGACTTATCCAAGATTACACAGACAGTGAAGGGGTTGGGGATATGAATGCAGATCCTCTCCAAAGACAGTTCTATTTCAAATGTATCATGATATTTCTTAGCAAACACCTTGCAACAATGCAGATTTTGAAGTCGATTTAAACGCATGCAAAATAATCCATTGCAATTCAGTTCTACTCAGTGCCACAGATTTTGTGTTTCACCAAAAACAGCATTTAGCTTCCTGAATTTGGGTAATTTCAGTTTTTATCTTATTTTATTTTTGCACCCTGACAGCACACTCTTTTTAGCGTTTTAGTTTTAGTATTAGTGAGCTTTGGGGAAAATAAGTAGGGATGTGGATCTACAATTCTGTAACTTCAAAGCACTCAGGTAAATAGTTTTCCAAACACTAAATTCCTCCCTCCACTCTTGGTACAATTTTGTAGCTCTTTCATCTGAGCTCCTCCAAAATTCCTTAGGTCTCTTTGTCCTCATTTTTTACCTCCACCTTTCTCCGGAGCTAAAACCTAGGAACTGATAAGACCTTGGAGTTGTAGTGAAAATAAGCATGCACATTTGAGCTGCTTTGAAAGTAAACTGTCTCTGTTTAAATAATAAGTTAGCAAAAGTTATATGGCGTCCTAGAGAAGAAATAAGGCATAAGACACAAGATAGTGAATACTTTGCCTAATTCTCCAGTGAATTAGCAAAAATGGCTCTGGATGAGTTTCTAGCCAGAGAAATGAAGGTAGCAATAACCACTTGCCACTACAATAAGTGGCAAGTACTGACATATCCATTCACTCTAAGACCTGGAGAACAAATCAAGTGAGGATGTAACCAGGAATGAAGCAGATGACTTCAGAAGCTTAAAATTTCCACAAAGCTCCTGGCCTTCCGGTGGAGTAGGCCTTCTCTAACTATGGCAATAAGGGACATTTTTATGGGGCAATGTGGTAGCTATTATTCATAGAATCATAGAATCCTATGAGTTGGAAGGGACCTTGGAATCTATTCCATTGAACTTTCCACCAAAGGCTCAACCTACCACTACTTAGGAATTCACCCTCTCAGAGCACAAAAGGCCATAAAAAGTTTGCCCAAATATATTATGTGGGTATGTACCCTTCAGATTTGGTGGATGTCCCAAGACCTCCCAAATCACCACACCCAGTCCTGTTGACCAAACACATTTCCACGATGGAAATGAAGGAGGCCACATCTACTTACAGCTAAGTGCTACTGTATTCTTGCTTAACATACTTCATATTCTAACCTTCTGTTACTTGTTCAATGACCTAGGAGTGCCTTATTTCATCTCAGTATTGAATCTAAGCTAACAAGGTACAAGCCTAAGTTAGGCCTGCCACTAAAAAAAATGTTACCCACAAATAGGAATCTATATTAATCCCAGTAGTTGACCTTCATCCTCAGCAACTTTCCAGCTAGCTCAACCACAGGCAGTCATAAATAGGCAGAATTACAGAAAATCAGGGGCAAAATATATTTGTCATCAAAATATTCATTTTTCTTAGTTTATATGATCTATCTTTTAAGAGCATGTCACTGGTCTATCCTAAATTAGAAGCGGAGGGGAGGGAGTTGGTACAGTGGATAGAGCTTAGGCCTGGAATAAGGAAGACTCATCTTGCTTGTTCAGATCTGGCCTCAGACACTTACTAGCTGTGTGACCCTGGGCAAGTCACTTATAACCTCAGTTCCTCATCTGTAAAATGAGCTGGAGAAAGAAATGGCAAATCACTCCAGTATCTTTGCCAAGAAAACCCTAAATGGGGTCATGAAGTGTTGGACACAACTGAAATGACTGAACAACAAATGAGTATTGATGACTTATTTGATTCAGAAGTCCTTGATATTTGGGTCAACAAAAAAGATTACCAAGTTCAAATCTGCCCATTGTTTAAATAGAAACCTGCAAGATAGACACTTCTAAATTGTTACTATTCAATTTTGGTCAAGTGACGAGAGTAATAAAATCTAAGTCTAGTCGTTCTACTCTCTTAAATTAGCAGAAACAAGTGGAACAAAATACTATAGGATTTTTATATTCCATTGGATATGGATTATTTTAGAGAGCATGATGATTTAACAAGAGGCAGCAAAATATAATGGAGAGGAAAGGAGTCCTGTTTCTGACATATGCTAGCTGTGTGACCATGGGCAAGTCAGCTGACCTCTCTGTGACTCAGTCTCCTCATCTGTAAAATGATGGGATGGAAACTGTATGGCCTCTGAATTTAGTTCTAAATCTATGACCCTATGAGTTAAACTGAGTGCCCCAGGCATCTCTCTCAAACTATAAAGCTACAGAGGTATTGCTGATGTGCATCAGGTGGTAGGAGTTTGTACACTAGGAGCTGCCCACACCAAAGAAAGAACTTTAAGATATACCTCAAGAGATAATTAGAAACATTCTAGAGTGATATAATCAAGGACTGAGAATTACTATTTTTTTACAATCCTGGACTGAAATCTAGATTTGGACGAAAACAAAAAAAAACATAACAAATAAACAAAAATTGAATATTATTACACTTACAGCCTTCAGAACTAAATAATTTTCATTTTTTACCCCTGTACATGACTAGAAAAGTCGAATACACACTACTTAGATCTTGACTGTCATAGAGCTTCAGAGTTAATGCAACTAATCAGTTAAGTGAAAAATATATTACTTATGATTCACTTTAATTTAGCAAATCAAATCACAAAACATACTGATATTAATTTCCCTCTTGGAGTTCTAAGAGATCTAAGCAGTTTGCCTTCCCAGGTGTGGATCAGACAAAACCCTCTTGGCACTCCAAATGATTTGTCTTATGCAGTTAGTATTACTGTCAAACACCTCCCTCCTTTCCCTAGAAAATCAGTTGGCCAACACTGCAGCCACAAATCCGTCAGTGTGGTAGCCAAGAAAAATCTGTTTGCTTTTCGATTCTGAAATTTAAACTCCAGACCAAGGTCATAAACAGTAGTGATTCTCTCTCCTAGACTGTAGCACTCCAGAATGTTTCTAATTATCACATGAGGTAACTTAAAATTCTCTCAAAAATTTCCTAGAGAAAATTAGCTTAATTCATCTGACTTTTAAAATAGTATTTTTGTTTGTTTGTTATTAAGGATATTTGTCATTTTGTTGTTTGTTATTTGTTGTTTTTTTTTTTTAATTTTAAGGATATTTGTTATCAAGGATAACCCAGTATGTGCTGGCTTAGTTACTAAAGGACTAAAATGACAGTGATATTAAGTTTGCTGGCTTGTTTTAAAGGTGTTTCCCATATTGAAGACAATGTTACATTGAGGTTCTGTTGCACAAACTACATAGGATTTCTAAGAGGTGGTGAGACACCCAAGATGATAGAATATCAAATCTCAAAATCTGGAAGTCACTTATATTTTGGAAAAGTCACTTATACTTCCTGTGCCTTGGTTCACTCATCTGTTAAATGAAGGGACTGGACCAGACGGGCTCCGAGATTCTCTTCCAGCTCTAGAGCTATGATTTCCATGGAATCTTATACAGGAGAAGCAGAAAGTCTTATGATAGAATCACAGTATGAGAGCTCTTTAACATTATCCTTCCATGCCTTTCACCCCTACGAACTACACACCTAAAAGGGTTTAAAATTCTGGGAACAGGGAGGGCAGCCAAACAATCTTTCCATTTAGGCAAAGGCTGGGATTCTCCCCAAAGTCTTCCAGTAACCTTTGGCTGGCTATCCCATGCTGGATTGTGAACTCACTAGCTCCATTACTGTGGGAAGGGTGGGAATTGGCCTTGCTTATGTATTTGTTTCTGGTCTGTATTTATAATCAAGGATAGGAACCATTTCAGTCAACAGAAAACTGTTGATATATTTCAAGAAATAACAGTAACACAATTACATGTGACACATGTAACTGAGTCAATAATTCTTATTTTTATCTTGCCAGCAAAGTAAAACTAAAGCATTATAATTTACTTACTTATGATGAGATCGCCATCTGAACGATTTTCCCAGATGGACTGGTCTTGATTCTCTCCGTGCATAAAGAGACTATTGGTGGGTGGTGTGATAGCTCTCTCTGTATTGTCTTGGTCACATTTTTCTAAATAGAAAAAAAAATTAAGCTTACTTATTGCCACCAAGGTTTCCTGTTTAGGTTTCACTTAATGAATTTTTATCACCAGAGACTGGCACACAATAGGAACTTAACAAATGCTTTTGATGGATAATGTTTCTTTTCTTTCAAGGATCATCAATTTAGATGAAAAAGGGACCACAGCGATCATTTACTCTACCCCTTCTAATTTTACAGATGAAGAAACTGAGGTTCAGAGAGGTTAAGTTTTTTGCCTAAGGTCACACAGGTAGTAAACATCAGAGTCAAAACTTGAACCCAGATCTTCTGACTCCAAAGCCAGTACTCTTTCCACTTCACCATGTTGTGAATGATGAAAATAAATTCAACTTATAGGTTTCATACATGCTTAAAGATCTTATGAGAGGCAGCATGGCACCGTAGATAGAGATTTGCACCTCTGACACCCTAGGCTTCCAGTACTCTATGTAACCAAGACTATAAGTAGAAGAAAAGGTGCCAACCTACAGTGATAAAGTTCCCTCTCCCAGTGAAATGACAGCTCTAGTCCTGATCCCTATCCTTACAAGTCCTATTACTTTAGGGAGGAGGAAGAGACTATCTTTTCTAAGTATTGTCTCCAAGTGGCATTAGAGGTTATTATCTCTAAAACTTCTTTAGAAAATTCTGTATTTTGCATAATGTTCTAGTGTACCTGTTTAAACATTCCTTGGATGTTAACTTAGTATGGTGATTCCAGCTTTGCTAAGTTGTCTCTTTTCAAAATCACGTTTCAAATAAAACAAAACCAACCAAATTAATTGGAATACTTGGGTTTTCTGCCCATGTGGATGTGTATCTCATGAGCAAATCACTTACTCTGTAGTAATTTCAGAGAGACTGAGGAGCTCTGCCAAAAGTCTGTTTTGTATTTCTTATACAACACACAACGATGGAGAGACACCACATGGAACTAAGAGGAGTGGGTATATAAGAAAAGAAGACCTTCAGTTCTATTATTTCTATAAAGGAAACATGAAATATTTTTAAATAGTAACAAATATAAATTTGGTGAATGCTTAACACTTTTTAGCTTTGTAAAACATGTATATAACTTTTTAACAAACAGAATATAGAACGATCTTTATGATGTCATGGAACTGATCTTTTTTAATGGTAGTTTTAGAATCTTCTATCTTCCAAACGACAATAAACTATTTTGCCAAATGGCCAAATGGAAAAATATTACTATTGTATGTAAATTTTAACCAGTAATTAGAGAATCTATGAGCTAATAGGACCTGTGTATCTATCTTCAAGACTAAGTGCTCGGCATCTATTGAAAAGAAAAAGGGAAGGAAGAAGAGGGAGGGAAGAGAAAAAGGAAAATGAAATTTAAGAAGGATAAATGCAAAGCTTTACATCTGGACTCAAAAAATGAACTGTACAAGTGCAAGATTGGAGAGATATGGTTAGATAACAGGCCATGTGAAGAAGATCTGTAGGTTTTAATGAACTCCACGATCAAAGAGTCAACAGTGTCACATAACAGTTAAAAAATTAATTTAATCTTAGGCTACAGTAATAGAATTCTGGTGTCCAAAAAGAACAATTGATAGTCCCACTGTACTTAATCTGGCCAGATCATAGTGAGAGTTGGATATGCTCAGGTCTGAGTGCCACATCCTGAGCCTTCATTTAGGCTGGATGACCACTTGTTGGGAGAAGCTTCTAGAGGTACACACTAGAAGACTTCTCCTCTGCCTTCCAGTTCTGAGAGTTTGTTTCTGTGAACATGCAAGCTCTACCAAAGAAGTACAAAGGAGCAAAGTTTCATATTTCTTTTACATACTAATATTTGGGGGGGGGGGACAGCTAGGTGGGAGCAGTGGATAGAGTGCCAGGTCTGGAGTCAGGAACATTCATCTTCCTGAATTCAAATCTGGCCTAAGACACTTACTAGCTGTGTGACCTGGCCAAGTCATTTAACCCTGTTTGCCTCACTTTCCTCACCTGTAAAATAAGACAGAGAAGGAAGTGGCAAACCAGTCCAGTATCTCTGCCCAGAAAACTCAGAAAAGAATCACAAAGAGTCAGACATGACTGAAAAGCAACTCAACAACAACAAAAATCATATTTCATAGTTTTTGAAGGACTTTCATCCATCATTTTTACTTGATCTTCCAAACCCCCAAGAGAGTTAGGGAGGGAAGGCACTATTATCCCCATTTTACAGAGATGGAAACTAAGCCTCAGAAACATCTAGTTATTAACCTCAAGATTCTAGGATTTCTATCTGGCAGGGCTGGACCAGGAATCCACTTCTCCCAAGCCCCAGAATATTGTTTTTGTTTAGAACATAATGCTTCCACCCCAAGTCCAGTGTTAGATACAGGGTAGGAACTGATTAAATACTATGATTTGAATTTCCCTGACTCTTCACTTCTATGAACTGGATAATCTGTGTCGATTAACTGTTCCATGATTTGCTAATATCTATCATTTTATATGAAACACACCTCCTTCAATATTCATTTCCATAAAACACTTATGAGGTACATAGCACTATTTTAAACACCACAGTGGAGGTAATAGACTCAATTCCAATCGTTGAGAATCTTATGAAGCTTAATTTTATAGAAGCGAACATAATTGACACAATTGTAATCAACAAGATGTACAGCCACAGAAGCAGACAGTGTTAGTGGCACATTTCAGTCAACCAATCAGGTTCTGGGTATTAAAACAACTATAAAATCAGTCTCTTTTTCGAGATTTTCACTGCTTATAAAACCATGTATATTAATAGTGGCAATTTGGAATTGCCAAATATTTTGACAGGGCTTATCTACAGCATACACAGAGACATATTCTAAAATAGCATTTCTACTTTAAATATGGGGTGTCCCAAAAGTCTTATTAAGGCATTGCACTAAGACTTTAGGGACAACCTCTATATCATGACTCTGAATGATTTATTCCCTAGATAGATGATCCATATGGAAACATATCAGATGTTTTATGCTTTTCTAGCATTTTTATATATGCCTCTGGTTGCTTTATTCTTCAGTATTGTAATTTTTCCCTTAAGGAGAATGTCAATATCAATGAAATGGATGTGATAGACTTCCTAAGCTCTTCTTCTCATATAATATAATTGGAACATAATGCTATACAATTATTTTTTTAAATTGAGAACACCCTGAATGTTGAAATAGAGCAATACTACTCATCACCAAGTGTCACAGTATTCTGAATAATCATAGAATATTATCTAATCATTTAATTAATATAAAGGTATGTTTTTTCTGCCAACATGTCAAAGACAGCTTAAGAAAAAAGGAAAAGAAGCACATACATAATTCTACTAACAGACAGGTTGAAAGAAATAGTGTGGTATAGAGGTTAAAACACTGAAAGAAAATCTGGATTCCAGTTTAGGCAACTAGGTGGCATGGTGCTCGGCCTGGAACGGCCAGACCTGAGTTCAAATCCAGCCTTACTTTAGCTGAGTGACCTGAGGTAAGTCACAATCCCAGTTTCCTTGACTATAAAATGGGGATAGTAATAGCCCCTACCTCCTGGGGTTGTTGTGAGAATCAAATGAGATAATATTTATAAAGTACTTGGCAAAATGCCTGCCACCTGGCAGGCCTATACACATGCTAGCCGTTAATATTATTGCTGTTATTACTATTAGTCCTGATTCTACCAATAAATAGCTCTATGTACATGATCAAGTCACACCTTTCTCAGTTTCAACTTCACCTGTAAGATAAGGATAATGAGCCCTGCCCACATCATGAGGAGAGGAAATCATAGATCATAGATGTAGAGAAGGAGAGGACTTTAGAGGCAATGGAGTCTGACCATTTTGCAGATGAAGAAACTGAGGCACAGAGAGAGAAAGTTTACTTGCCTAGTGTCACAAAACTTGTAAGTGACTAAGTTGGGATTTGGCCACAGGTGGATTAATTCCAGTCCAGTGTCTATCTGTGAAAGCATCCTGAAACATGCTGTATAAATGTGAAGGATTAATTCATAGATTAAAAACAAGAACAAAAAACAAGAAACTATGAAGATTTTTAAGGTAACACTTGACCAAGGTACAGGGCTATACTGTCAGTTTTTAAAAACTATCTGCAAAACAGTTCCCAGTGAAAAATCTTATCATTTATTCATTTGTCATACTCCCAACTCTTGCACTGAGAGTACCACCAATCCTTCCCTTCATACTTAAGTTCTTTCCCAGGGCATCGTACCTGCAATGTCTGTACTGTCTTACCTTCCCCATCTCAGGACTTCAGTGAATTAGCTCAACACTAAATCCTACATTGGAATCCCTTGCCCCTCATGCTATTAACCATCATGTCTTACCATGTCACAAACTAGTATCACTCCCACCGTTTGCCAACTTGCTTCTTACTCACATGCCGGTGAATGGAGTTGGAGGATGTCACAAAACCCTGCTGACTGGGTCCACTACAGTTTCATGTTACATTATCTTAACTGGGCCCTCACTGCAGTGAGGCCATCTTAATCTCCCTAATCAATTGAGTCTCCTACTCACCACAGTGGCTATTCAAAACATTTCCATCCCTTCTCAAGCCTCCCATAGAACCTTCTCTCCCCATCCTTCCTAAATTCACTGAAAAAATTGAGGTTGTTCAATGAAAGTTCCCTCTTCTCCCCTCCATGGTCATCTCACATTACTCAGATGCCTTCTCCGACTATCTCCTCTTTAACCACTGTCTCACATGAAGAAGTGTGGCCTTTCTTGTCATGGTAAATCCCTCTATATGCACAAATGACTCCATTCTATTTCATCTTCTCCAGAATATTCCCCGCCTCTAACAACCCCATTCTCTTACTAAGCTTCAGTCTCTTATCTACTGGTTGTTTCTGTGTTGCTGAAAAACATGCCCCTATCTTCTCCATCTTTAAACCCTCACTTGGTCAACTACTTCCACCATCTATAGTCCTATATCTCTTCTTCCTTTTGTGGCTATCACCTTCAGAAAGCCATC